AAAATAATCAATTTTAATTTAGTTTTGATATCAATCGATTTCAATCAAAGCGATACTAATCGATTTTAATTGGCAGCCTTATTGTCAATCGGTATCGCTGGTAATCGGCAGGGGTGCTGCTTATCGACTAACATTTCTTTCTGTTAATCGATTGCCAACAAATTTAAAATTATCCTGATGTACAGTGATCTGCATCTTTTCACAACTTTTTTAAAATGGCTGTATAAATTTGGTAAATATTGCGAATTCCTCATGATATGATGATTATTTGATATGATTTAAGAACGAAAATACCTCATTTTCACATGAACGAGGTGATTGTTGAAAACGTACAGGACACTCGTAATGGATGATAATTACGATACGAACCTATTTAAAACAGATATATGACGAAATAGTAGACATTTAGGATAAAATCGGTTCATATAGGCGTCCAATACATATCAGAATAACGATAGTTCTATAAATAAATCGTCAAGGCTTGTCTTATAGCTTTATCGATTTACATATAGAGCTATCGGCATTCCAATATGTATTGAATGCCTATATGAATCAATTTGTCTCCTATTTATGCCAAATATTGTTGCAAATCAGGCTCATATTGGGATTACATGATGCCAGTTAGAGCTGTGTAATTAGGATGCGCGATAATTCAGAACGCCCATGAGCGCTAATTCGAGACCATATAAGTTAAAATAACTCCCATGAGCGTTTATACAGTATGGTATAGATTATCAGAATTGTATGGTATGAAGTTCAAAATGTTATTTTAAAAACAAAGTCATACAATTCTAACCCTAATGAGTGCTGCCAAATGCAAACGTGCAATTCTAAAAAATTCATAATCATCTAAGAAAAGTTAACCAGAGAACATCACAATTCACATTAATATCGTTCGCCAAGGTTAGGGTTAGTTTAGGGCATAGTTTAGCCTAGTATGTTTAATTCTAGTAAATAGTGATGTTAAAAAATTTTATCTTTTTGTGTAACCCGAGCTTTTTGAACTAGGTGATAACGCTGGTCATCTATATTTCAATCTGATCAATTCTACTTAGTGGTTTAGTTGGTTATTAGTAAAATTTGGTGTTTTGGGGTTAAAGGAAGAAGTTCATTTGATCAGTTAATTTTATAGATTTATCCAACAAATCAATTTTATCAATTTTAAATCGCTATTTTTACGTTATATCAAAAAAACGAGAAGCTCGTATAAATCAGTGAAATACAAGCGAAAAAATTTTATAAAGTGTATTTATAAAACAGATAGATGTATATAGAGTGACAAAAATGGGATATTTATTATAAAATCAAAATAATCCACAACCTAATGCGTGAGCATAACCTAATGAATTCAGGCATTAAACCAGATCTTTCAAGTTTATACCTGCATAAAGCATTTAATGTGTAATTCATTCAAATCATTAAACTCTAAAAAAAAAGAAATTTCCACAAATAGAGTTAGCTCTATTAATGTTTTGTTTAAATTAAACATATTTATTTGAACACAATCTAGTAGAAATACCTTTAGCAAAAACATTTGCGATCACATTACTTACAGATTATCTACGGTATATACCGTATATTTTATATAGTTGAATAGAAGACGTATAAATTTGTCTTCTAAGTGAAATTCTCAAAGAGTGAGATCTTTCCGGATTCTTTTGCATAGTGAATATTGACGCTATTCTAAAGTTATGAATGGTTTTTGTAACGATTTTTTTATTAGTAAACCGTTGTGTTGCCAAAAAGTACTTTAAAGTGTACAAATAAGTTACCCAGGAAATTGATTGTCGCGGCTGATGCTGAAATTTAGTTCTATAACACCTATTAAAATTCAAATATATATTTTTTACTAACAACACTAATTCTAAACCCTAACCTAACTCTAAAAAAAAACCTTAACAAAGGCCCTAAAAAAATTTAAATTTTCATAATAAAACAGGTAAATATTTTAATAACAGCCACGACATTAATTAACTGTATTTACAATCTCAATCATTTATGTTAATTACTAAATATAGTGCGCTTACTCTGACCAATTAGTTCGTTTATTCCGAATAGATATTAAAATTTCGATATGATAAATATATTATACAGTTGATCATGATCTTTTATACGCTTTTGGAAGATAATCAGGTCTTCTCCTATAGCCACAATACTCAAATTTTTTAACGTTTTGCAATTCGAAATAAATTAAGATTGCAAGTTGTACCTAGTGATGGGCAATGCGCGTGTTCTCTGGATACATAGTACGTGTAATACGAATGCGGCTAGTAACCGATAAATTTTGACGCAATATTCCTAGAATAAGTATTGATTGTCTATCCCACGAATCACGCGCGGGATTTCTGGATCCGCGATTTGCCCATCACTAGTTATACCTTATTTCACATGAAACATGATTAATAAAATGTACTCGATACTTGTAATGGATTATCATTTAATCTTTAATAACCACCAAAATCACACAATTTAAACTCAATGAGTATTCGAATTATCTGATTGAGTTATTTTACAAATTGCAATTAACTTGAACAGAATGAAGTCGATCCTATACGTCACTTAAACACTTTCATATTTATTTTTATTTTTGTGCAATTACAGCGGAATGAGCATAAGGACGTGCTTGAGATTAATGTTACTTATTGGGTTGTCAGACATCGTTATAATTGCAAACATAATGCAAGTCATATAGTAAATTCAAATAAGGATTTTTATAGATCTACAATAGCAATAGTAAAAACAAGTAAAATTTATATTGCAATAGTTCTCGAACCAATAACCCTACATAAATAAAATTATTTTCCAGGTTCGCTTTAACATGCTCTTTAAAGTAACAACCTTTTTGTTTTATATGTGTTAAGATAAAAAATCAATCATTAAAATCTACTATATTGTAAGAAGACAATAAAAGAAAGTTGTCACTTTAAAGACACATTAAAATGAACCCGACAAATATAATTTTATTTGTGCGGGTTTGTTAGTTCAAGAGTTATTACAGTTTGAATTTTATATATTTTTACTATTACTATATGGTTGAGCTATAAAAAATCTTTATTATTAGAGTTTACTATATGACTTGCATAAGATTTTTTACTGCATCAGTAGTCTATTACATCATGAAGTTTCATGACCTGCATTAAAAATCTCCCGGGTCAATTTTCAATTGGTGAAATGATATATGAGTGAAACCAAAGAAAATGGGAAATGGTTTATCATTTATTGTTTAATTAAGTAATCAATGTTATCGTGCAAACGATCATGATCATGGATTTTTTTCATGTTATTTCTTGTATGTTATTACTTAAGCACAACGATCCCATATTTAAAATAGTTAGCAAATCACGGCTTGTAAATCATGTTCATTAATTGCACAATAACATCAATATTTATTATGCAACGATTAATATCACAAAATTTGTTCTGTCGGAGTAATGATTGGCTGAAACATCCCTCTCGTGCACATGCCAGCCAATAATTTACTCCGCAGAACAAATTTCATGATATTAATCATGCATGACTAATATCTTGTAAATAAATCAATTCCCATTTTCCTTGGCATTACTCATATGATACCAAAAATCTTACCTAAATGCAACTACATACACATCGTATCAATATTATATAAACCTTCACGTTAAAATTGATAACACATTTACAACTAAGATACAATACTTAGTGATGGCCATCTTGTTCAGGCCTCATATACAACTAAAACTATACTACATATTTACTATTGTTTTCATAATATTTTGTTCATATACTTCTAATGCTCAAATAAACACGCCACTACAAATAAATCTTACTTTTGACCGATCTTTGATGCGATGGTTCTTTCCGATTCAATTTGGAACACCATCTCAAACATTGAATATATCAATTGACACTAAATCTAACTTATTCTGGGTCGTCAGCGAACTTTGCATGATTCCAAATGGAAATGCTTGCAATAATAGAACAACAAACTTTTTCAATACATCTCTTTCAAATACTAGTTCGATTAAAAACCAAGAATTCACAACTGAATATATCAACAGAAGTAAATTTGAAGGAGTATTGGCTAATGACACGATTATAATTAATAATCAATCATTCGAACAAATAACATTTGGATTACCTAAGAATATAAAAATTGGAAACAACACCATTCCGGATACAATTACTGGACAAATAGGTCTTATGCCTTACCAAAGTGTAATTATATTTACATTCCTAATTATTTGTTGTTTTTATTCATTTATTTATTATAAAATTTTTAATATTGGAATTAAGTAGTACATACTAGATAATTTTGCTGTAAGTAAATAAAATTTTCACTATGCTGTATTTATTGTCCAGAGAACTTAAATAATTAATAATATTTATTTAGGATAAAATCGTAGGAATTGCTCTTTCTATGAATTCCAATGATAAGGCAGATATTGGTTACGGCGGGTCAATTATAATTGGAGGAATAAATACAGCGTATATTAAAGGTCTGTAGTAGAATTTTATTTCTCATTTTATATTACTGTTGAGAAAATAATAACTTAATTACACATCTCAGTGGATTGCGAAATTAGCCTTTACAGTCAAACCTCTCTATAGTCATAAAAAAAAAGTGTGATTATAGAGAAATGCGTTAATTATAAAGGTCAAATTTATTATCTTTAATGAAAATTAACATTTAAAAAAATGCGCTTATATAGGAGGTGACCATGAGAGGTTAGACTTTTTACTAAGATTATATGGGCTAGGTGCTGCAAATTGACAATTTTTCAAAAGATATTTTTTTGCATAAATCAATTTAGAATAAGATTAGAATCTTTTTTTACTTAAGACACAAAAGTAGTTGTATTAGTAAAATTTTGCTGCATTGCTGTTTAAAGCTTGCATTTTCTTATGAATTATTATAAGATTTATAACATAAAATTGATTTTCCGAAGATCTTTTGTTTTGTCAATTTGGTCCCTTTTTGCAGCACCTAGCCCATATTTATTGAAAACATGAAACTTTTCTTTAATTCATAACTAGAAAATAACAAAATTTAATTATCAACCATATATATATGTATTATTTGTCAATTTATATTTATCTCTATTTATTTAAATTTCGCAAATCTGCTGAGATAGTATAATATCTTGCTAATAATTTTACAAGCATCAGATGTAAAAATATTAGTACGATAAAAAAGATCACAACGAATTAAGATCGTATTATAAGTTGTTCTTACATGATTATTTTTAACAATATAGGTAATGACGAAAATAATATAGTATATCATCCCCTTCCTCAGTTCACGAAAGCAATGGTTAACGTTACTAATATATACATAAATAATAAGCCAATTAACTTAAGTGGGTCAATTTGGTTTAGCAATAAATTCCAAAGCATCCGGCTAGATGATAATAGTGCTAACATAATTGCAAATGGATTGCCTGGAGGAAGTTATTCTAATGGTGCTGCAATAGTAGATTGTGATGTTTCACCTGTCTTTGATTTATCCTTTGAAATTGCAAATCGAAAGTGGAGATTACCATCAAACGTAATTCCTAAAGATGCTATAGATGGAACAAACAAATGTGAATCTATAATTACTGGCAGTGCTAATAATGGTTCTTGGATATTTGGGAGTGCTTTTATTACGGTAATTTAGCTTTTATTATGATTATAATTAAATATAGTATTTATTAATAATTTAAATTATCATATCATAATTAAAAGAACTTTTATATGGTCTTCGATCAATCAAAATCGCAATTAGGTATCGCCCCTCGAAATAATATTGATTATGGCCCCGTACGTATTTAATTTGTTATACATACAGTAAAATATTAACATTCCTATCTAATTTTTTTAAATAATTTGACTTTCGTAGGTTGAAATAGGGGTTCAATTTCCCATTGGAATAACTAGTGACCACATTTGCTTGACGATAACTGATCAAGAAGGAACATCTCAAGCATTTTCTTTAGATAGTAATCTTGATTCGGATGGGTTTTACTATCTAGGTCACGATTATCATGCATATGAAGGCTCTGAATACAATATTGATTTTTATTCAGGACCACCAATTAACAAATCTAGCTGTTCTGGTTATCATTTAATCAAAACTCCTCCACTTATGGGAAATGTTGCGACTAATCCATGGAAAATTAGTTTAGATGATTATTCTGTACGTAGTGTTTCAGAATGTAATTTATACTTTGATAATATTATTGTTCTAATTTTTTCGAATAATTTATATATTTACAGGTCGGAATGAAAGTTAAAGTTCCTAGTGGAACAAAATGCATGGATTTAATGGTTCATTACATAGATCAATCAATTACTCAAACAGTATCTTTTAATATAGATGAACTTGATGACGAAGGGTATTACCATATAGAAAATTTGGTGGCATATGAAGGTAGCTTGTATGGTTTTTATGCCACAGATAATTCCACTACTACTCCTATACGTGGTCCTGGAGCTCCTGGGTGTACTGAGGTTATATTAGATATAATAGAACAAATATCTGCAGATTTTACAAATAATCCGTGGGCAATAAATTTTTGATATTTTCTAATTTAATTGTTTATTAATTAATTGATTAATTGGTATTAATAAAAATATTAATAAAAAAATAAATTTTTTATTTTAAATATTTTAATTAATAAATAATAACTATACTTGCTTTCTTTACTCAATTTTTAAATATCAGATGAATGAAAATAATTTTGCTAAAATCTTATTGCGAGTTTTACTAATCTGATATTAGGAAAAGTGGAGTAGAAAGTAGTGATATGAATCGAAAATCGATTAATTGTTTAGTTGGCCGAGTTGACAATTAATCGATTGGCCTTTATATTAATTAGCTTTTTAATAAATTTTTATCAGATTTATATTCATAAAATTAGGTCAACTAAACTAATCAATTAATCGATTAATCAGCTAATCGATTATTTGATTATTGCGGTTTGCAAAAAATGTGAAATTTGCTAGATCAAAAAAAAAAAAAAGCAATTGATGATTTCTGATTCTGATTACCGATTTTTTTAACATTTTTTTGCAGAAATAAAAGTGTAGATTCATAATTTTGTAACATATTTTGATTTAACATCTTTTGTAGGAATATATTTGCACAATCTTTATGTTGTAACATCTTTTGTAGGAATATATTTGCACAATCTTTATGTTATATAAAGAACTTGATTGTGTAATATTAAATTTTGCTTCTTTTCTAGCCCGGTAAAATTTACTATTGCATGATAAGCAAGAAGAAAGTTGAAAGCTGCACTTAATGCTCCTAGGTCAGGTCCTGGTCTGGTCCTGGATCGAACCAGACTCAGACTCTAAATTTTACCAGTTTCGAACTTCAGACCAGACTCAAACTTAATTATGAAGTTTGCAAACTAGTTCGAGTCCGAATATATATATATATATATATTGGTGCTAAGCTGGTTTGAAGTTCGGTCCGAAGTTTGCAAAAGTCTGGTCCGGTCTGGTATGTTTTTTTATGGCTTAGCTCATCATGTGAGCAGATTTGTATTCAGGTTGATGGGCGCAGTCAACAGATCGAAAAGGGAGGTAAGCAGGGAAACCCGGGTAGCGACGATCACAAAGAACCCGGGATGTCGGTGGAAGAAAACCGGTTCAATCACCATCCAATTCAAGGAAGGCGCAGGGAGAAGATAAGTAATCAATCAGTTGCCTGATTGGGGCATTTCACATGAAGATTAATAATACAAAGATTTACCGTAGGTATAAATGGTCAAACGTTAGGGCGGGTTTGTTGGGCCCAGGAAGGTAGAAAATTCGCAAGATGAGGAATGAAAGCTCAGTGTCTAACGAGTCCTCGGAAACGGTAACTACATCTACAAGCCTGAATCAAGATGTCCAAGATTCGTATGGAGGTATAGACAATCAAACGAGGGCATACGTAGATACAGTAATTTAATCGACAGCAGCAGCTTTAATGCAGAACATGCAACAACTGATGGACCGGCAAATCGAGGCAATTAGCCAAAGGTTTGAGCGACTCGAGCAAATGAATCTACAAAATGACGGTAACAGCGGCAACCAGGGCGACGATAGCGGCTTGACTACGGCGGAAGGAAATCGACAGAGCGTTAGCGAGGTCAATAGAGAAACGAGCACTTCACAAGGTAACTACCCCATCCCCAGTGATCAATAATCTGATTTTCAAAGCGAGCTTGGAGGAAGTAGATGAAAAAGTCAGGACATATAAATCAACGGCCAGGAAATACCCGACTATAAACTACAACGCAGTTAAAGAAATTCCTACGGTCCAAGGTTTTCAAAACCCAAAAGCTGCCGAAACAGAGCAAATCAGGCTGTGGTGGGTCATGAATTGGACGGAAGGGCAGAAATTGCTAGAGATGCTCCCGCAAAAGCCTAGCCTGAGTAACAAATTATGGAAAACCGTTGCTCTTGGTGCTTTTGTAAACCTGCAAGAATTCATGCAGAAAAGTTTAATCGACAGTGTCAAAGATATGGACAACGATATACTGTTGGAAATGGCAGATGGCGGCGCAATATTCGTAAGGAAAAGGAAATGCAGCGTAGTATTTGAAAATATATCGGAGTGGCTTCTCGCGTTCAAGGCATACATAGACGCGGTTTTAGTAATTTACGAAAACCGTGAACAAGAGCTGAACTTGTACCGAGATCACATAAATGAACTATGCGTTAAATACGAGTTTGCTGCAGTCATGAGGTACGACGAAGAACGACGAGTGGCATTAATAATGGATCGTGATTCAACCCAAATTGATAGAAGCGTTGAAGCAGAGGGTAAGTGCTTCGATGCAACAACAGCAAAAAGAAACAAAGATGGAATAGGCAATGGATCGACGGGAAGGAAATTTGCATCATTGGAACCGTTGATCATGCCCCGAAGAGAAGAATTGCGGTAGAATTCACGCATGCATTGTATGCAAGAAAGCTGGCCACAGCAAGAAGAATTGCTTCCATAAGGTCCCGAAGAAGCAAGAATAATAATAATAAAAAAATAATAATAATAATAATTAAAAAAAAAAAAAAAAAAAGGGAGGAAACGGACAAGAGGAAGTGAACGGTGCTATGGGAAAAAAGGGGCAAAGTAAACATGTGAACATTAGATCGCACGTACATAGCAATAGTAATGATAGTAAATAAATAAATGAGCATAATACAACATTACTAACAGAGCTATATTCTTCTTTTGAATGGAATATAAATAAATAATGTTAATAAATAAATGAATAAATAACGAAAAAAAAAAAAAAACCAAATAAACAAACTGCAATAGATCGAGTACGAAGGCCAATAAAATATATGGCACAGTTTAAATCGTCCAGGGCGATAACGGTACAGACAGAACCATACCTACAATCGGTCAAGTTAACTATAAAAGCAATTCCTCCGAAAAGCCACCAACTCTCACAGGAAGAGACATCAATCGTAGCGCAATTAGATCCTGCACACTTCAATGTGACAACTCCGATTAACAAAATGGCTTTCGATTACTTAACACGCGAACACCTGAATAAAGCATTTGTTCAGTATCTGAGACATGGCCTCGAGAACGGTTTTAGGTTTAATTTCGCAGGCAAGCGCACATTACTTATACAAGAAAATTTGAAGTCTGTTAATATAGAACCATCGGCACTAACAAACTACATTGAGAACGAATTAGCTATCGGGCGTATGTGTGGCCTGTTTAGAACCCCCATGTTCAGTCTTCCAAGTAAATCCTTGTGGCTTGGTAAAGAAAAAAGAGACCGTTCCTAAAATATATTGAGTCATATCACACCTATCGGCCCCTACGGGGACAAGCGTAAACGATGGAATCGACAGAATAGATTTTGCAACCAAGTACGAGAATATAAACCACGCGGTTAGATGGGTCACCCAGTATGGGAAAGGGTTCTTACTGTCGAAGGTAGACATCAAGGACGCTTACCGCATTCTCCCGTACACCCTGTTGATCAAGTACTCCAGGGGATTAAATACAATGATAGATTATATTTCGATAAGGCTTTGTCATTCGGCAATCGAGCCTCGGGCGGCATATTTTGCAGGTTCGCAGACCTGGTCACATGGATCACCGTTCAGCAAGGAATCAAGTCTATCATTCACTATGTAGACGATTTCTTGATTATCTCTAACAGAAATGCAGAACAGGAGTTGCAGCAGTTTTTACGTATTCTTGAAGTAATGAACATCCCATATAAACCGTTGAAATTAGAGGTCCATGTACGGCTTTGACTTTTCTTGGAATTCGCATCGATACAATCAATTTTTCGGCATCCATTCCTGCAGAGAAAAAGGAAAAGATCATAGAAATGGTGACTGAGTGGGGTGGCAAGGAGTGGTCATATAAAAAAGAAATACAGTCGCTGGTGGGCTCCCTTATGTGGCTATGTCAGACGTAGAGATGGGAAAAATGCGCATTTTATAATAACATGCGCATGAATGCGCATTAATGCGCACATTATATAAAATGCGCATGATATCGCATGATATAATTTTTTGATTTTATATTTTCCCTCCGGAAAATATCGGATATTT